TAACTGTAGTTTCATAGAGCTTTATAATTGTTTTTGCTTTATAATAAGCATGCTAAGGAACTATTATTATTTGTTATATCACCCTCTAAAATTTCATATTGTTTTTGTGGATTTTTTTAAAGGTTTATTTTTATTGCAAAGTCAGATATACAGAGAGGAGAAGAGACAGAGAGGAAAATCTGTCCGATTCACTCCCCAAGTGACCTCAACAGCAGGAGCAGTGCCGATCCGAAGCCAGGAGCCAGGAGCTTCCTCCAGGTCTCCCACACGGGTACAGGCTCCCAAGGCTTTGGGCCATCCTTGACTGCTTTTCCAGCCCACAAGCAGGGAGCTGGATGCAAAGTGGAGCTGCCAGGACTAAAACCGATGCCCATATGGGATTCTGGCACGTTTAAAATGAGGACTTTAGCCGCTAGGCCACCGTGCCGGGCCCTGTGGATTTTTTTTTAAATATTTATTCTTTTTTCTGGACAGTCAAGATATATGAAGAGGAAGATGTTCCATCCAATCACTCACTCCCGAAGTGGTCACAACTGCCAGAGCTGAGCCAATCTGAAGCCAGGAACCCAGAGCCTCTTCCAGATCTCCCACACGGTTGCAGGGTCTCACTGCTTTGGGCCATCATTCACTGCTTTTCCAGGCTGCAAGCAGGGAGCTGGATGGGAAGTGGAGCCACCAGGATTAGAACCAGCACCCGGCTGCTTCACTTCCAATCCAGCTAATGTAATCCAAGTATTTGGGTTTCTGCAACCATGTGGAAGGCTTGGAAGAAGCTCCTGACCTCAACCGGACACAGACCTGGCCATCTAGAGTGTTACCTATCCAGCGGATGCAAGATCTCTCTCCTTTGTATCTTTGCCTTTCAAATAAATGAAAATAAATCTCTTTCTAAAATGAGTGAAGAAAATAAAATGTTACGGTGAAAAGAACAAATGGAGTCTAACAATATGGCCTATAATTTTTAGTCAAACATGAAGGAACTTTAACCTTTAGAATTTGAGAAGTTGAAGTTGCGGGAAGGCCATGTGGGCAAGCAGGTTAAGCCGCCACTTGGAACTGACATTGGTTTCCGAAATTCAGGTACTATCGACTCAGCTTCCACTTCAGCCCTGCCTTTGCTACTTCTCCTGGGAAGGCATCGAAGGACAAGTGCTTGGATCCTTCCCCCCCATGTGAGAGAGCAGGGTGGAGCTCGGGCTCAGTCCTGATTGTTCAGGTCATTTGGAGAGTGAACCAAGAGCATGTTTTAAAATAAATCTTTTTAGTGAGGGAGGGGCTGATGTGGTAGCATATCAAGCTAATCGGCAAGAGCCGACAATCAGTAGTGGGCACTGGTTTGCGTCCTAGCTTCTCCACTTAGAATGCAGCTCTCTGTATATGGCCTGGGAAAGCAGTGGATGATGGCTTGAGTGCTTGGGTCCCTTGCACCCACGTGGGGGACCTGCAGGTAGCTCCAGGCTCTCAGCTTCAGGTCAGCTCAGCTCTGGCCATTGCCTCCATTTGGGGGGCGAACCAGCTGATGGAAGACCTTTCTGTCCCCTGTCTCTGTCTTTCAAATGAAAATATTTTTTTAAAGGGAGTAGGGGAGGATGGGTGAGGGAGAAGTCACCTGGATTGTGAATTCTGGAGCTACAGCAGCTGTGCTATACTGGAGTCCGTGGCACTTGAGACCCGACAGGGCTGAGCATACTAAGAGCGTTACAGAGGAGGACAGGAATGGCACGCCCTGTCAGGGATGCCCAGTGCAGAACTGGCCAGGGCAGAGGTGTCCATACAGTGTGGCAATACTCGCTACCAGAAAGAAGGTTGTGTAGGTAGCAGTGCAGGAGCCCAGGAATAGTGCAGGTGTGCAAAAGGTGGGCATTTCTGGGAGTAGACTGATGCAGTTTAAACAATAGGCCTAAACAGTCTCTCTCTCTCTCTCTCTTTTTTTTTGTTTTTTAAGAATTTGGGCCGTCTTTGACTGCTTTTCCAGGCCACAAGCAGTGAGCTGGATGGGAAACAGGGCCACTGGGATTAAAACTGGCGACCATGTGGGATCCCGGCGCATACAAGGCGAGGGCTTTAACCACTGTGCTATCATACCGGGCCAATTTTTTTATTTTTTATTTCAAAGGCACAGTTACAAATAGAGCTTCCACCTACTGATTCACACTAGCAGGATCTAGGTGGATTGAGAGCCAAGAGCCAGGAGCCTCTTCCGGATCTCCCATATGGGGGCAGTGACCCGAGCACCAGGCCATCTTTCACTACCTTGCCAGGCCATCAATAGGGAACTGGATCCAAAGTTGGGTAGCCTGGACTTGAACCAGTGCCCCTATAGGATGCAGGTGCCTCAAGCAGAATCTTAACATGCTACACCATGGCACTGGCTCCCAATTTCGGTTTGTCTCTCTGTGTATTAGGTTTTAATATCGACTGATAAAGAAAAAGAAAAAGGTGTCCAGTATCAAAATGTGAGGACAAATTAGCTACTGAAGTATCCAGGAAACACTAACAGTAAATTGAGAAAACCAAGCCAAGTAAGCTGAGATCTGGGCTAGGATCAATGACGATAAGTGCCAGCGTCACACATGGGCATTGGTGCAAGTGGCTGCTCCACTTCCGGCCCAGGTGCCTGGGGCCCTGTACTCACGGGGAAGACGTGATCCTGGTGTTGTCCTGGGCGCTAAGGCCATTTGAGAAGTGGACCAGCAGATGGAAGATCTCTCTAACTCTTTCAAATGAATAAGTAGATCTTCTGGGAAAAAAAAAATTATGACAGTCTTATTAAAGTTCAAACTTTATTGACCAAGTATCAGTTGTAAGATCCCAGTCTATTCTCGAAAATTTAAGTTCCAAGCAAGCTCATTGTTTTTAGTACATAGATCCAATTTTCTGCCCTCTGCCTTGCCCGCTAACCACACATAATGACTCTAAATTTCGCCTGAGTGTGTGCATTAGTTAGGGTTCTTCAGAGAAAAAGAATCAACAGAAAGCAAATGCATGCACAGCTACAGAGATGTGCTTCAAGGAATTGGCTCACGGGGTCAGGCAAACCTGGTAAATCTGAAATCTGCAGAGCCGACTGGCAGAGTTCTTGCTCAGAGGAAGTGTCAGTTGTTGTTCAAGACTTTAACTGATCAAATGAAGCTCATTTACATTACGGAGGATGATTACTCAGAACCCATAGATTTAATCTCATTCAAAAGATGATTTTCCCAGTCGGGTTGACACACACACTGAACCACGCCATGACTGCACCCAGGCTGGAGTAATGTGTGCTTCTCTGAGCCAGACAGGATTCCACCCAGTCTGCCTCTGCCTCTCTCTCGTAAAATGTAAAATGTTCTGTGTTTAAACTGTATTTGCAATGTCAACAGAACCTGACACAGTGCCCTACATATATAGCTGACATTTGAGTATCTCTTGAATAAAATCCCACAATGGAAAAGGCTATCAAGTAAGCTGTTTCCAAAAATACGGAATCGTGTTTATATCAAGGAGATTGAGTCAAATTTACAAAACCAAGAATAACTGGACGTCAATAAAATATTTTTTAAAATTGCCCACATGCAAAAGCATCAAATTAGAAAAACGACTTGTATTTAAACATATTTCCTATATGTCACATGTGTACATACATATGTGTGCATGTATGCATAAAAAATGTAAAAGAATATCTAGAGTGGCACTCCAAAACACTCATTCTAGTGGAAGAAGCCAGAAACACAACACCACACATTGTATAATTCCTTCTATGTGTTTTCAGGATAGAAAAGGCCTTGGAGGCAGAAAGCCTGTCAGTGGCTATCAAGGTGGAGGAACCGTAAAGGGAAGGGAGGCTTCCCTAGGATGACGAAAACATTTATGAAACTAAGGACAAAAACAATCAGACAAACAAGAGGCTGATGCTGCTTAGCATGTACAGCTACCTGAGATGCTGGCATTCCCAGCTGTTGTTCTACATCGAGGCCTTACACTAACTCTTGCTAAAACCATCTGAGGTGTAGCATATTTGGAATAAGCTATTACAAATGGGTTTAGGGCTAGCAATGCGGCACAGCCAGTTAAACCTCTGCCTGCAACATCTGCATCCCTTGTGGGCTTCAATTTGAGTCCCAGCTGCTCCACTCCCCTCTGTGCAACTGTCTTTCAAATAAATAGAAATCAGTCGTTCTCTTTTTCTTTTTTTAAAAAAAAAAAAAAGAAGAAGCAAAGAGAGATTTCCATCCCTTGATTCACTCCCCAAATGGCTGCAACAGCTCAGGATGGGCCAAGCTGAAACCATTCAATTTAATTTATCAGCATAATGAGACTGTGCTCTTCCTCTATTTTTTATTTTTAAGATTTTTGGAAAGGCAGATCTACGGAGAGAAGGAGATACAAGGAGAAAAATCTTCCATCTGCTGGTTCACTCTCTGAGTGTCTGTGATGGCTGGCACTGAGCCGATCTGAAACTAGGAGCTTCTTCCAGGTCTCCCACAAGGGTGCAGGGTCCCAAGAACTTAGGCCATCTTCTACTGACACTACCCACGTTTTGTTTTCCAGAATGTGTTTATTAAAAATAGTTCAGCAATGAACTTTTAATACCTCTTAACACAACCACCAAAGATATAAATAAAAATAGGAAGAGGGCCCAGCATGGTAGCCTAGTGACTAAAGTCAGGCACGCCTAAGATCCCATATGGGTGCTGGTTCATTTCCTGGCTGCTCCACTTCCATCCAGTTCCCTGCTTGTGGCCTGGAAAGAAGTAGATCTGCCCTTCCATAATTCTTAAAAATAGAGGAAGAGCACAGTCTCATTATGCTGATAAATTAAATTGAATGATCTTTGGCTTTAGGCAAAACCTACTCTGTTTTCCTGTATTTTTAAATACTTACTTTTCTACATACAGATTAATGATTAGATTTTTTTTCAGATTGCATTTCGAAGTTATTGCTTGGTGCTTGAAATGGGATGCTTAGAATTGCTTCCTGAATGTGAATAGACACTCACCTTTTCTTTATTTTCTCAACAGTTCGATCCTTCGGTACCGAAGACAGACCAACAGATCGCCCAATACCGCCTCGAGATGAAGTCTTTGAATACATTATCTTCCGTGGGAGCGATATCAAAGACCTCACTGTTTGTGAGCCGCCGAAGCCGCAGTGCTCTTTGCCTCAGGACCCAGCTATCGTGCAGGTAACTGACAGCATGGCCAGCCTTGGCCCTTGCCCTCCCCTGCTGAGTGCTCATGCTGCTGTCTCCAAGTGACTTGGTTCTGTGAAATTATCTGGAGTGTGTTCTCCTCTAGATCTTTCTGTTTGGATCATAAATTGGGACTAGATTTTTTTTAAAAGGAATTTTATCATAAAATGCTTTCTAATTTAAACAAGGTGTTCTAACTTTCTATTCTAACTATTCTAACTAATATTTATTGAACTTAGCCTTCGTAACACTCTGAACTTGGTATCATAATTATTGTCACATTTACAATTTGAACAGACCCAGACAATCCTGTTTCAAAAGATGGGATTCACGCCACTGCACTTGATAGAGTTCATGTTAGAAACCAGGATGATAATGGCTACTCTTGGGAAATTATTTGGTTTAATGGAGAAAACTGCTAAATCATAGCACATATTATGTGGTATGTGATGGTAAATATTACACAAGCAAAAGCATTTTAACGTATATAAAAAGTTCTTAAATTTTCACACTGTAAAAAAATATTTAGGTGATTGTAAATTATGAGTTAAAGTAGATATCCAGTTTTACATTTCTGCACATTCATTGGAAGCAGATAAAGGCTCTCTGCATTTTGGCTGTAATAGAAAAATCACTTACCTAAGAGTATTATTAGTTAGGGAGATGACTGGTCTTCCCATGGTTTCCCTCCTAAATGTGTTGTCTTCACACCTTTTTTTTTTTTTTCTGTCATGTCATTGTTATTAGCACCAAAATATGCTTGTTTTGCAACAAACTTTTAGGTTGTTTAAAATTGTCTTTATCCCACCCCCATTTTGGGGGAATCAGGTTTATTTAAAAGAGCAACAGGAAGGGAAAAACAGAACTCTTCCTTCTGCTGGCTCATTGCACAAATGGCCACTACAGCCAGGTCTAGACCAGACTGAATCCATCCTGGTCTCCCACATGCGTGATTCAGGCCATGCCTATGGACTGTTGTCCACTGCCCTCCCCAGGCAGACAGAGCAAGGAGCTCAGTCGGAAGAGCAGCCAGGACTCAGCTGCACTGAGGGAGAGGCCCAGGCCCAGGGTTACCTCGTGTGCCTCAAGCCCCCACCTTTATCCTTGTTCATGCTGTGATAAAATCTTCCCAGCTTTCCATAAAGTAGGTTATTGTACATTACCTTGCTTGGGATTTGTCTTACTTCCAAATATTAGAGGAAAAGATCTAATAGATTCATCTAAAAAGTAGGAAAAAATACCTGGTGATATTTAAACCTTTTTTCCAGAATGTAATCTTTTCACTAAGAAATTGTGAGGGGCAGGCATTGTGCCAGGTTAAGCTACTGCTTGGGATGCCCGCGTCCTGTCGTAGTGTGGGTTGGAATCCCAGCCACACTACTGCTGCATCCTAGGAGGGAGCAGGTGGGAGCTGAAGTGCCTGTGCCCAGTCTCCAGAAAGAGAAAACTCAGTGGAGCTCCTGGCTTTGGCCTGGCACAGCCCTGGTTGTTGTGGCATAAGGAAGTCTACCAATAGGCAAAAAAATATATCTAACTTATCTCTTTCTGCCTTGAAAGTAGATGAAAGCAGTTTTTAAAAAATTATGAATTTTGTTCTCCAGCGTAAACTGGAGAAGATCTGTATTTTCATCTTACCCATACCCCCCGCTTTAAAGTCTTATTTTGGGGGAATCCAGAGAAAATGGATCTGGTAAATGAAGAAAGAAGAAACATGCTCTTAATAGAAGTAGCTACCCACAACAAAAAGTGGTGCTCTCTTACTGTCTGTTCTCTGTGTCTTTGGATAATCATCTGGGAACCAGTTTTTTAGTTATGTGAAAGAAAAACTGATAACCCACATCAACTGGTGTTGAAAAACTCCAACCACCACTTGCTTTTCATTATTCAAAAGTATTTATTAGTACCTGGCAAGAGTCTTCTGTCAGTGAGCTTATATCCTGAGAGCCTTTATACAATAGTTATTTCCATTATATATTTGTAGTAAGACCAATTAGCATATGAAGTCTATATGTACAAAAATTATCTTAGGTTTAGCTGGTAAAGGCTTAACTCTAAAAGAGAGAGTTATTGTAGGAAAAAAAACATTGAAAATCATATTGAGTTTAAGTAGTACAAAGATTGAAATCACACTGATATCTAATATTAAAAAGCAGCTAGAAGCCATTTTAATTCTTTTTTGTGTGTAGTGCTTATTTATTTGTTTTCTTAAAACTGAATTTCTTTTCATCACACATGTTGCTTCGAGCATGGAAAAATAACCTGACTTCCCTTCAGTCTTCACTAGGTTCATCTGCCTCTTCATTCCAGTCAGTGGGTTCCTATGGGCCTTTTGGCAGGATGCCGACATATAGCCAGTTCAGTCCAAGTTCACTAGTCGGGCAACAGTTTGGTACTGTTGGTGTTGGTATGTGCTGTTTTTTCCTTTTTTCTTATTTTTTTTGTAATCTGTATGCAAAGTTGTTGAAAATTCAACCTACACCTTCAGAAATGTTGGTTGATGTTCTTTTTATAACCTTATTTTGTGGTCTTAACACATTCTGATTATTCTTTTAAAGCCTCTATTTAATGTCCTTTGTGGATCTATAAAGGTCAGTTTTGAGAACAGTCACGTTTTAAACCTACATGTATTTAATTATCAACTTCATTGAAAGATTTTTTTTCAAACCCAAGGGGAAAGAAGCAATCTTTGGTTTGCTGATTGACTCCCACAGGGAGTTGGATGGGAAGCAGGGTGCTAGGATTCCAACTGGCCCTCCACTATAGGATGATAGTGTCATTAGCAACAACTTAACACTATACCAGGAAGGATAGCCAGTTACAGCTGACCTTAAATGGCAGCTGGAACTCATAACAGGTGCTCGTGTGGGATGCTGGCATCTCCTGTGGACCCCAACACTGACACTTTTGCTTTGTGGTAACAGTGTTCTCAGAACATTAGACTGCAGTGAAAACATGTAGGGGACTGGGCTAATGACCAGCCAATGAATGATCAGAGGGCAGCAGCCTCCTGGTGCGAGAGCTGGTTGTAATTAGGTCAATTCAGTGTTGTGTTGTTTTACTTGAGAAGCAGAGAGTACCCTCAGCTGAACCAGAGCATGGATCACAAATCCTGTAATCCCATGTAGGTGATAAGAAGTTAATTCCTGGAACCATCACTCCTATTTTTTGTAAACTAGTTATTTCCTCAATCTCTTCATAGGAAAAACCAAGAATCAGTGGTACCCAGAAGCAAAGAACAATGTAGACTCAGTTCTTAGTTTGTAAATACTACTACATCCCAATTAAAGGAAGCAGGGAGCCTTGGAAAAAAAGAAGTAGAAGAAAAATGCCTGCCAGTATGTAGAAGGACTATTGGGTGGAGGGGAAGACATGTTGTGGCCCACGATATTAAACCAATTGTGCTGCCTGGGATGGAGTCCCTTCTCTGGCGCTGCTGCTGCTTCTCCTCCTCCTCCTTCTTTTTCTTCAGATTTATTTATTTTTATTGGAAAGACAGATATGCAGAGAGGAAAGAGAAAGGAAGAACTTCCACCTGATGATTCACTCCCCAAGTGGCCATAACAGCCAGAGCTGAGTTAATCCAAACCCAGGAGCTTCTTTCCAGGTCTCTCACGTGGGTGCAGGGTCCCAAGGCTTTGGGCTGTCCTCTACTACTTTTGCAGACCACAAGCAGGATACTTGATGGGAAGCAGAGATGCTGGGACATGAACCAGCACCCATATGGGATCCTGGGTGCATGCAAGGCAAGGACTTTAGCCTCTAGGCTATCCAGCTTCATGCTTGTGCATCTAGGAGGCAGCTGATGGTGGTCCAGGTACACGTCTCTGCCCCCTGTACAGGAGACCCTGATGGAGTTCCTGGTTTTTGGCTTCCACCTGGCCCAGCCCCAGCCATTGCAGGCATTTGGGGAGTGAACCCCGTAGATGAAAAATCTCTCTGGGTCACTCTGCTTTTCAAAATAAATAGAAATGACTAACCATTTGTTCTTTAAAGGCCTATTCTGAGATTCCTTTTTTAAAAAAAAAATAATGTGTCATCCCATAGTTTACTTGTTAATTACATTGGATGGGGCCAAACATGCCTTTTAGGTAAGGGGAAATTTAATCAAAAGTTTGATGCTGCTGTGATTGAATAATTATATGTATAATGTGATGTTTGGGATGAAGTGTATCACCTTTGTGCTATTTGCAGTCAAACTGCAGATTCTAATTCTGAAAATGTGTGTATGCTGAAGTTGGGATGTATTGAAAGCCAGAAAGCATTCACAATGCGAAGAACAGAGTGGCAGTAGAACTGGGGAAAATTAAGGTGATGAAGCATCCAAATGTAATGTGAGATGGGCTCCTGAGTTAGAATCTTAGGATGGACCTCTGCAGTTAGTTAGGTGTCACTACTTGTGATTTTCGTAGTTGTGTTATGGTTAAACAGACAGAAGGATGTTTTTGAGGGAGATACTTTTGCAATATTTAAGGGTAAGCAATAAAATTGTTATAGCCTGTCTGTCAAAAAAGAAGCTATGTATCAAAGAAATGGCATAGAGGACAGCCTCCCTTATGGGTGCCAGTTGGAGTCTCAGCTGCTCCATTTCCAGTCCAGGTCCCGGCTTATGTCCTGGAAAAGTAGCAGAGGATGAGCCAAATGCTTGGGGCCCTGTACCCATGTGGGAAACCCAGAAGAAGGTGCAGGTTTTCAAATCAGATCAGCTTGGACTGTTGCAGCCATTTCGGATTTAATGTTCTGCAGGTGTCACAAAGCTAGAGGAGTCTGATGTTCTCTTGGTCTTTTAAATTTTTTTGCAATTCTAGATCATTTTTGTTGTTGTTATTGACTGATTTCCTTACTGGTTAGGATAGCTTCTGAACAGTCCAGTTAGAAAACTGTGTTAGTGGGTGCTAAATGAGCAGATGAACTATAGCACTAATCAGATAGAGGTATTAAAAAGAATTAGCTTTACCTATGTCAGCACAAATTAAGCCGCATTTTAATCTAAGTTCAGTCTATGTGTCTGTCTGTCTATCTATCTATCTATCTATCTCAATCTCTATTTCATTTCGTTTGAAAGCCAGACAGAGATCTTCCACCAGTGCATATCCACTGGCACACTCCCCAAATGCAAAGTCAGTTCAGGGCCAGGCCCAAACTAGGAACTCAAAACTCCGCCCATCTCACATAAATGGCTGCAGTCCAAGCCCTTGAGCCATCAGCGGCTGTCTCCTGGGGTGTACATTAGCAGCAAGCTGAATTGGAAGATGACTATCCAGGACTAAACAGGAAAACTCCAGTGTGAGAATCAGGCATCCCGAGCGGTAACTTAAGCCACTGCTCCAAACACTCGCCTTTAATCCACCTTTTCTCAGTTTTGGTCCCTAGAGTTCTGATTTAAAAGGGAAGTTTATTATTTTTTTAAAGATTTATTTTATTTCTATTGGAAAGTCAGATATACAAACAGGAGGAGAGACAGAGAATGATCTTCTGTCCGATGATTCACTCCCCAAGTGAGCGCAACAGCCTATGCTATGCCGATCCAAAGCCAGGATCCAGGCACTTCTTCTGGATATCCCACACGGGTGCAGGGTCCCAAAACTTTGAGCCATCCTCGAGTGCTTTCCTGGGCCACAAGCAGGGAGCTGGATGGGAAGTGGAGCTACCAGGATTAGAACCGGCAGCCATATGGGATTCCAGTGCATTCAAGGCGAGGACTTTCGCCGGTAGGCCACCGTGCCGGGCCCTAAAAGGGAAGTTTACAGAAATCAGGATTCTATTATTGTTATGTGATAGAAAAGTTTTTTTCTTTCATATACAGGTTTTCTCAGTGATGGTAAGGTGTATCCTCATAAAACTACCCTGTAATTTAAAACTGCAGTAGATATATCTGATCTATTTAAGATTATCACCTATCCTACCTTAACTACACTGAGAAGAAATATTAGCTTACAGTTGGCCAAACCACCTAATGCAAAGTCCATTCAGTTATAAATAAAGCATTTAATATTTCCTGTACTTATAAGGCATCTCTTGTGGAAATGATAGGATGTGCAATCAGTACCCCCAATAAACACTGGTGGCAAGGTATTTGTATGATACCTGCAGTTTACCCTTGAAGGCACATGGCCAACTGTCCTGCCCTTTGTCACAGCAGAGAGTGTCTAACTAGCCTGGGGAAGGGAAGGATGCAGTTTCTACTGAATGAATATTGCTTTGGGAGAGCTTTATTTGCAGTCTATGTCACTGAAGGTTAATATCTTTTATATGACTAGAACTTCTAAAAAGAAAAGATCACCAACCCAACAGAAAATTAGATAAGATTTTGAAACTGACAATTCATAGGGAAAAAAAATATATCCTTTAAACACGTGCAAAAGATGCTTTGCTTGTGCTTAAAATAAAAGATATAGTAAATACATAGCACTGGTGCACCGTTTCTCACTACCAAGTTGGCAAGAAAACAAAAGCTTGACTGCAAACTCTTGGCAAGCCTGTGAGAAAACATAATCTCATATATTGAGAAGAATAATAGACTGGGTGCACCAGCTATTTTTTAAAGGCAATGCTAAAGGAACTTTTTATGTGCAGGGATTAGAATTTTATTGGCCATAATTTAGGGCCTCTGGAAAAATGGGGTATCTCAAAATAACTGAGCAATGGAAACCGTATTTCTGTGTGCGCAATGATCAGAAGATGCTAAGAACTTACAGCATGCTGCATTCATAGAAAAGGACTTAGGGAGATAGTAAATGGTACAGGTTGGCCAGGCACTTAAATTGATTCTTGGGCAAGGATTAAAATAAAAAGATGAGATCTTGTTTCTGTTACTTACTTCAGATGATTAAGTCACTTGTTTCTTTACAAGTAATTACGGCAGAATAACCAGCTGATATGCTAAGTCTCTTTATGGCAAGATTGAGAAATATTGACTGGAAGAACAGAGGAATGAATACATTTTAGCTGGTTAAATAGACAAATCAGATGTTGTAGCACAGTGAGTTAAGCTACCAGTTGGAAATCCACATCCTGTATCAATGTCAGTTCAAGTTCCAGCTGCTCCCCTTCCAATCCAGCTCCCTGCTCATGGCACATGGAAAAGTAGCAGGTGTCCTAAGTGCTTGAGCCCCTCCCAGACCTATACGAGATTGTGACTCTAACTCTCAAATAAATTAGTCTATAAAAATTAAGTAACTGATCGGGTGATGATTCTCTTGGAGCTGCAGTGCAGGCACGGGTCAATTTAATCACTAAGGCTGATAAGGGCAGACCTATAAAGCTTAGTTAGCATAAAAACAGTTTTGCATGTTAGGCTAAGCACTGTTAAAGATCTACTTTGGTGAAGTGTAAAGGAATTAAATATTAGAGTTAAAGGTAGAGATGGTCTGGGCCTGGCAAGGTAACCTAGTGGCTGAAATCCTC